CGAGGGTAAATTTAATATAGTTGTCCAAAAAATTCGTTATATAAAAATTCGCTATAGAGAGGTATGACTGTATTCAAAATCAATGAAAATAGGTAGATTATTTAGTCAACCATAAACTGGTTTATGTTTTTTTGTCAAGAGATATTTTAATCTCATCAGTATCAATACTATATAGCCATATTTTCCATCGAAGTTTCTCAGTATTACATGGTAATTCTATTAAGCTTAAAATTTGTGGGAAGGTCCTTTTTTCTCATATTCATTTGAAAAAGATAATCTATCAAGATATGCTAATCAGGATAAAATATTAGGATAAGCTCTCTCTTGCAGTACCAAAGGTATAAGGAAGGGTGAATAGCTATCAGGATTTTTTAATCAGAAAAAATGAAGAGACAGGCGCTGTGCATAGATCAGCAAATTCTTTCGAGCTGGTGATCACTGCTTTGTGATAATGATCTGTATTCTGGACTCGAAATTTTCCACATTAAATATATTACTTTATTATAGTAATTATGACAAATAATACTGAAACGCTTGCTCAGTTTTATGGAGTGCTTTTATATAAGAAGAAGGATATAGTAGCTATTCAGAAAAAACTTGGTATCAATGGTAATGCAAATAAATTAGTAGTGCCTTCAGATTCCAAATTAGTAGGGAAAATACTTGCTAATTCATATGAGCTGTTGTTAGAATTGGTAGGGGATTTAATGCCGATACAGGAGAATCTCAACATTGATGGTAATCCTGTTCTAGAAGTAGAATATCAAAGTAATGAGGCTTCCACAGATATTTCATTAAAGGAGATATTTAATTTGCTTATATATTTAGAAGAGAATATAATAGCAATTCAAGAAAAACTTAATATTGTTGGCTACACTAATCAAGAAATAGCAGAAGAGGCCAATAAAACCGTAAGAGAATATCTTCAAAAGTTTAAGAAATACCATGGTCACTTAGAAGATATTCCAAGTGTATTAATACAAAAGTTCATCGATAGAGAAGTAAAAATGTTTTATTTTACTGGAGAGGGGCTACCATTATTTCCAAAGGTCTCTCCTCAACAATTACATGAAATATTTATCAAAAATCCATCTAGTGCCAGCCAGTGCCAATGTCTAGAACAGGTTAGCTAATTTATATTTTTTTTCTTACACAGGACATATCTAGATGCAAAAAAAAATCTTCCAAGCTAATGATCACTAATCCAGATTAGTTAGATCAGTAGAGTTCTATCATCCTGCTTGACCAGCTAGTATTCTATCAAAATAATTTCTTAGTGATCATCTGTTTATAGCTATAATGGAGTAATCAGCACCAGAGTCGACTATTATAAATATATTGGAATTAGGTTGTTAGAATGACTGGTGAAACTGAGTTCTAATATTAGTAACTGGAGGTTATCTAAATAGTTGCTCTATTACTCACTCTATTTCAACTCAAATATCATTCGGATCCTGGAAATTCTTGACATGAGTATTTGGATTTAGCTGATCTACAGCTTCTTTACTAATATTATCACACCCTTCCAGATTAAGATATTTTAAATTAAGACATGATCTAGCAATTTCTTCAATAGTTATATTGGTAATTTTACAAAAGCTAAGGTTGAGTTACTGGAACCTTGGGTAAGAACGAATAACATTACAAATTGATGTTTCAGAAAACTCTGTGTGATAAGAAATATTTAGATATTCCAATTCACAATATGACTATATGATTCTCTATAGACCTTCATCATCCTCTCCTTGAGCACGAAAGCTTCTAAAGCTATCTGACTGATCATTGCACAAATTGAGATACTTCAGATTCGGGTATGAACCCACTATCAGTTCTAATGCTCTATTACTAAATCCTATACTATTTATGAAACTCAAATGGATTATATTTGGACATGAATATACAATGCTTATGATTTTTTTATCTGAAAGTGAATGGTAATATGATATTTCGAGATGAGTTACACTTGAGCAATAAACTGGCATTTACTTCCTACGTACTAGCTTTATGAATTTTTCAATTGTGAGAGATCCTTTGTACATTCTATCCTTATGAATTTATTAAATCGAGAATGATCCTTTGCACAGTAATTATAATCATTTGGAAGAGCTTGCCCAAGATATAAGTCTTTTTCCTTTAGCTCAATATGCTTTCATAGGATAGGAACACCGCATCTGTATCACAATTAAGAAACATATAGTGAGATAGAGAGTTTATCTTTCGCTAAAAAATGTAAAATCTGTTCTAATAGTTCTGGTATAATAACAATTCTTGATTGCGCCATAAATAATATACTCTGTATCTTTAATCAAAAAAATAAATTAACCTTTAGAAGAAGAGCTAGAAAAACATTTCTGACTTCGACCAATTTTTTCCAAATATTGGATAGCGATACTTGGATTAATATATTTTATTTTAAGATATAATTTAATTTCCTTGATGGTTGTATTGGATATTTTACATCCGTAAATAACGAACTCTTGAATCCTCAGATAAGAATGAATAACATTCCAAATCGCTATTTCAGAAAATTCTTTGCAACTAGAAATATTCAGATATTCTAATTTATAGCATGAATTTGCAATTGCATATAGACCTTTATCAGTTATTAATCTATTACCATCATACCTTTCCAAGTTGAAGTACTTCAGATTAGGATATGATTCTGCTATTCGGTTTAATATTTTATCACTAAATCTCATACTATGATGTAAATTTAAATGTACTTTGAGAACAAGCCTACAATGCTTTTGAATTTTTTATCTGAAAGATGGTAATCTGAAATTTCTAGATGAGTTACAATCGAGCAATAAACTGGCTTCTGCTCCTCACGTATTATTTTCATAAATTTTTTTTTTGTATTACTCCTTTTTAGCTTGATGTGTTTCCATAAAATAGAAGCACTACATCTATACCACAATTGGAATACGAATAGAGTGAGATAGAGAGATTTATCTTTTGCTAGGAAATATAAAACCTGTTCTAATATTTGTGCTATATTAAAAACACTTGTATGTATCATAAATAGTCTGTATTATATGTTGTATCTTCAAACAAAAAAATAAAATAAATTAGCCGGTCAGTAGTGGTCTGAGAAAATCAGATTCAGATCAGATCTGCCAGATGGGAAAGTAAGACAGGTATTCTCTTGTCTGTTCTTGCGACATCAGATCACTTCAGATCGGATTAAATTCAGATCACTACTGGTCAATATCTGCAATTTCAAATAAAGTGAAACATTCAATTTAACTAAAATTTCACATAACCTTTCGAAAGGATCAGAAGGTTTCTCATAGGTAAACTTGATCTTTGCCTCTTGATTGAGGCCTCTGAAAAAACTTTTTCTCATCTTTGCTTTACGTAAGTCGAGACCTGATAATGAAGTATATACCTTATATTCCTTATATGCCTCAAAAAATTCATTTAGTAATTAGTTATCTTGATCTGGTGTTGGACTATTTTTACCTTTTTCAGGTTCTGACGCTGGTAAAGTTGGAGGGGATGTTTGATCTGGCCAATTAAGTATATCTCTTGCTTCAAGGAATTTATCTATTGTCATCATAGCTAATTAGTTGTATTTTATATTTAATCAAAAAATAGCAAAGCATCTTCAGGGAAATTACGCGATCACTGATCCAGACTAAGCCTTTCCACTATCTTATCTAACGCAAGATCCTGTAAACCATCTATAAGAACTTTAAACGTATTCTCGGATGATAATCTTCTGAGGAATAGATTTTTAAAAAGCCATTCTGGATAGTCTTTGCTTAAATTACACTCTTCCAATTTCAAATAAAATTCCTTTACCGTATAATTACCTTGAGGTAATTCCCACATTTGAAATTTTATTCTTTTGGACCATTCAAGATTCGTCTCTCTTTCCCATATATCATTTATACTGCAAGAATTTTTTAGGTCCTATTCTGGAAGATACTTTAGAATGAATGGTATTAGTTCTGACGGAAGTTGTTCTAGTAAATTAACTGTATGCATTTTATATAATTAGAATATCTTTCAATAAGAAAAAATTGTCTGAGTTGATAATCACTGCTTCGGACTATTGGTTAGGAAAATCAGTCAAACCACAAACCATTTAACCTTTCTTCGTCGTACTTTTCTTTGGTGCTTATGAGGAAGGGTCTTTTTATCTCTTACCTGATTTATCTCAACTGAATCAGAATCTTCAGAAGACTCAGATGAATAGGAGAAACCCTTACATTTTTTGATCTTTGGTGAGAAAGCTATTTCTTGTATTAAGTTGACCACAGTTTCGCTATCCACACATTCGTCTAGAACTTTTAATTCGTCTTTTAAGGATCTCACATCTTTCTTCAATCTTTTTACCCTCCTTTCTAAAGTGTTAGGTTGGAAATGATAATCTTCCAATTGTTTCTTTAGTATCCTATTTTTAACGGAAAGTGCACTATACATATTTTCATCTTATTCAGGTCTAAGTAATTTGGCTATTTTTTCTATATGTCTGATAACTTTCTGCTCGATATCTATACTATTAGATGAATATTTTTGATCAGTTACTATTTGGGTTTGGCATTCTCGTATCTTTTTCCAAATCCTTTTATGTTTAACATCTTTACTATTTTATCAATATTAGAATCAGATTATTCAAATGAACTGGACTCAGATGAAGTATTTATGGATTTTTTGCTATAATTACCATGTCTAATAGCAAGTAGTTCGTCTACATCTTTATTGTCACTAGAAAGCATGTTATTTACTTTTGTATTTTGTAGGTGATCCCATAGCATCTATACATCTAATCTTAATAACTAGGCTAATTTTTCTGTACATCTGATAACTTCCTGCTTGTTAGTTGTACTATTAGATAAATGCTTCTGATCAGTTACCATTTTTGTGATATATTATATACGATATATCTTACCTTAAGCGAAAAAATAAATTAATAAATGATATCCTGGGATTTACTATATAAACACACCCTCTAACTAATATATGTGATCAGTTTTCATTAAAAAACTCAAATACCTATGCCTGATCATAAGGTTGTCCTCTTTTACGAAAATTAACTATAGTATATCTATCAGATGGAGCAGTATAGTTGTCAGGGCTATGCTTTAATGCTTAACTAGCAATAGTATTAGCTTTTGATAGATTCCTAATCCCACTTGCTACAACTGCAAACATCGCTCCTAATTTATGAAAAGAGCTAGTAAGTAGTGGCTTATAAGATTTAGGAATAAATTCTTCTTTTTTCAGAAATGCACTTAAGTATGTAGATTTAGGCTTTCCTGGATCCCTTAACACCTCAGAGATGATTGCTTCCTGAATCCATGTAAGCAATTGCCTTGCCCGCTTCTCATTTTTTTCTAGTGATCTAAATGTTCTAGGAATATCCTATTGACCTCAGTTATTTGCATATCCAGTTACACCTCCATTAGATATGCGCAAATTTTTAATTTCAGCAGGGTGGATGTAGAGCATGATCATTACATCAGCTAGGGCCTGTTTGTTGTGTATATTAGATACATCATATTGATCCAGAAAGTGAAACCCTTCATTTTTACGTTGCTCAGTATGCTCCTGCTGAATTTATTGGATATGCAAGTTGTCTCTTTATCTAATATTGCAGAGATTATTTCCTTTGAAACATTGAGGTCTCCCAATTTTCTTTGAAGCCTAGAGAGACGAGACAAACCAGCGATAAGGCCAGAAGCAGTTTCAATTAAAGTTCTAGATATAACTTTTACATCTCTTTCATTAAGATTATCCTGAATAATATGCTGAGCTGTTTCTTTAATAGTCTCCTCAAAATAAGTACTATCAAGGTATACTTGACATATATTCACATTTTCAGCTGATTTCTCTTCTTTGGAAGTTATTTGGCTTTTTCTTCGCTCAATTCTCTCGTGAGGAATTAATACATATGCCTGTTCTTTGCTAAACTTATATCCTTTTTGAAGGCGATAATGAGCCTGATGCCTTTTTTTCTTTATCTATCTTTGGCACATCAGTTGTCAAGAGTTCAAGTATTTCTGATACATATTGACTAAGTTCTTCAAGGCTCATTTTTTTGTAAGTTTGTGGTCTGTAACGAATTTAGTTGTAATAACAGACATGAAGTGGTATGTAGATTATAGAGATGTAGTTAAATTATTCTGTGATATTCAGATTATATTAAATGGGAAAAAGTTCAATTCAAAAACATTCCCGATAATTACTACGTGATCCCTTTTATAGTTGGTGAAAGGTTAGATGGGTGAAAAAAATAATATAACCTATGACCTAGTCGAAAAAGGTATTTCATCAATTTGAAATCTGCAGATAGATATGATATGCGAAAAAATATATAGTCATGGAATGGGGTTCCATAGCTATAAATGAATTTTCCTTTATTGTAATTGTATCTTAATAAAGTGCTCATATTAGAGTTAATATATGTTCTGGTCCTAAAACATTCGCCTTAGCAAATGCATCATATAAAGCTTCCGGTCTATACTTCGAAGGGGTTAAATTCAGATGATAGAGAAATTTTATGAGAGCGTCATTTCTCTAAGCTTTCATGTCTTTACAATCCCAAGTCATTTCGATTAGTATAGTCAAGTTATTGTTAGGATAATTTATTTGCATTAGATTCTGGAATGATGATTATCTATTTTTTTCAAGAGTAAATAAACTCATTCCACCTTTAACGGTAGATTTTGCACTAATAGGAAACTTTTTACGAATATCTGATCTACTAGCTAATATAGATAGAGGTAGAATTAGGGCTGGATGGTAAAAGTCAGCCAAGGGGTTTAATTCAAATTCACCAATGCATATGATTCCAATATCTTCTAAATAATCTAAAAGTCTATCAGCATATCTGTAGCCTTCGTGAATCAACTTCTGGAATAGCTTCCCATTTGGATTGATCTATCAGCCGGTTAGTATATTGAGTATCATTCTTTGCATTATATCTATAGCGTAAGTAAGAAAAGATGTTTATGTCTTATTTTATTACTGAATAATTTAAATATACATTTATTATAAAATTAATCCGCAATAAAATTGAAAGGTTTCTATATCCTAAAATACTTACATAGATTGTGTTACTTGCTCACATATCAAGAAAAATGGTACTATTTGTGGAAGAGTCTGTACTCGTATTACTGGTTGTACAAGACACTGGGCATTACATAAAAAAATATGGAAAAAAAATCATGTCTTGTTTGTGGATTTCCTACTGCTTCAATTACAGGATACTATCCTAAAACCTCTGCTAGATTTCATGCACTGAATTATCGGATGAGACAGAAGTATATGGATGAGAGCTTTCAACTTATGAAGACCTCTAAATTTTCTGCCAAGAAGTGAGCAAAAAAATATTATTCCTTTCATTAGTCGATTATTATTGGAGTGACGCAAAGATAGAGATATTTTTTTAAAAATACATACTTGGACAAGTGAAGTCTTCTTCAGTAATATTATATATAAAATTGGAAGAAGACTTCACCTTTCTGATGCATAATCAAATAGTATTAATATATATTAAATAAATCCTGAATATCTTCTGCGATATGCATAGTATCTACATTGCTAGAACTAGTGAAATTACATAATAACAATTCATCAGATGAGAGCTTACTATACCTATATCTCATTTCTCTTCCTTTTTTCCAATAAACTTCTTTTTCTATTTGGTATAAAGGTAATTCAGAAGCGTCTTTAGTATTGAATGATCCAACTAGATGGTAATATCTAAGATTTTTATCCATAGCCTTAAATTTTAATCTATAAGTTGCATAAAGTGATGCATTTAATAAACCAAGTTTTGCTCAGATTGTTTTTAATCCTGATTTTTTAATACTGCATGATACATCTACATTATCAAAAACCTGAGTCATTTTAGGAACTAAACCCTGGAGATATAATATCGATTCAGAAGAATCTATACGCTTATTAGCACCATCAGCTTTATATCTTGTTCTATCATCGATATCCCTAGCTGGTGTGCAAACTCTTAATAATTTTAGGCAAATTTGATGTCTCTCAGCTCAAGTTGCAGTTGTAAGTCTATCTTCTCTATATTCTTTACAGGAAATAGCCTCAACAGTTATTTTATTATTAGTACCAGCATCTCGTAGTTGCCTATAAGCTCTAAACCATTTCATGTAATTGTAATTCCCATATTTTGAGATAAAGTCTTCAGTTAGTAATTCAGGTGGAACTCAATAGCAATCCACAATATGATACTGGTCTAAAAAGCGCATCTCTTCTAAAGTCTTCTTTGGTTTATTCTCCAATAATTTAGCAGTCTTATAATTGACAATAAAAGCATTAGATATATCTGATATCTCCTCTGCTTTAACAATAGAAGAACTCACCTTTACTGTTTGGAATAGCAATATCGTAGTATCTTCAGGTTTAGGAATGAATTCTATAACAGAAACTACCATACTTGCTGTTACGCCAATTCTTTAAAACGCTCGACTTGAATAAGTGTTATGATTACGTGTACAGAAGGTTTCCTTCGTAAAGAAGATAGAGAACTTAATTATAATTTTATGAGTGTAAAGAAAATATAATAATTCGCGTAGAATAAATGATTAACAAGCAAAATTATAGTATTGCCTCTATCAGCGCGTCTGTACTAAACAGTTTATTTATTAAAGACTTTAAAACTACTAAAACTAATATAAGACAAAACTAAAAT